TCCAGAATAATTCTGGAAATCAGAATCTCTTCTATCCCCAGGGTTTGCTGTTCTTACTTGTTGAAGGCTTAGCTGTGTTCAGCCAGTGTTTTGACAGAGATTTCCTTGAATGCCAGGACCTTAAAAAAAACAACAAACAAACAAAAACACCTGTCTCAGTCTTTATGGATTGGCTTTGTGCTGGGACACTCTTTTAACACTTAGCCAGACAATTTATAATTCTGCCTCAGTCGTCACTTTCCTTTTGCATTGAACCTATTAGTCAGCCAGTGGTGAATGTTTAGAGTCTTCTCAGGTCATTTCTGAGCATATTTCTTGTCTTGGGCATGCGTGTGGCTTTCTAAGTCCCTCAGTGTATGTATGCTTTTGAATGCCCTAATATCCCAAAGAAATCCTCTTCCTGGCCTTTCCTCCTCGGTTTTAAGCAGTCTACTGTATGTCTTAACTGTAATTTTTCACCCCAGGTAGTCACACATTTTTAAAATTTCCTTAACGTGTTTTCAAGCAATGCCTGCTGCTTTTCCACCCTAAGTTCCAAGATAGGCAAACCAGAGATGAGTGCCTTGTGTTAGTCCTTCAGGATGGCCCCTAGTCAGGTTAGGGCAGACAAACAATAATTTGTGAATAAGGTCAGCTGTGATCCTCTGGAAGTAGGGACCAGGGTTCCACACTGACAATATGGGCTGCTATCTTCAGGATTGCTGCCAACCTGGGAAAGGTGTTTGGCAAGGGCAAATAAAAATGACACAAAGCTTTCTTACTGTTTTTAAGGTTTTTTTTTTTTTTTTTTTTTTTTCCTTAATACAGCTTGCACTTGGTTGCTGTAAACCTTTGTTTTCCAGAGTTCTGACAAAGTTGGTTCTGACAGTTTCTGGTACCTTTTTCAGTGTTTCTCTAGAGGGATGGGTGTTGGAAGCTGTCTACTCCACCATTTTGCTGACATCACTCTATATTTTTTAAAACTATAATTATGTGTAGAAGAGAACTTCCTTAGTTTAAAAAAAGGCTATGAAAGGCTCTGAAAAGTTGTAAAAAAAAATCTGCTTTATGTTTAACCAAACATTTCCCAAGTTTATTTTACTTGAGAGCCTTTCTTATTGGTAATACAGATTAGCATTTCAGGAGCATCTGTCACTAGGGTAGGACACGAAAAATGGTTCCAGTTCTTCAAAGCTGAAGTTTTATGATTTTTCACAGTTGTTCCCATAGCCACTGTTATGGGGTTAGCTGTCAAGGAGAAGTGCAGAGGCAGACATGACTAATACTATTTGGGAACAAATATGAGTCATAACCCCTTCTCTCCATGAGTTCTGAGACACACCTGGAAATGTACAAGACAAGGGGTCCCAAGGCCATGTGAGCTGTACAAATGGTAAGAGCTCAGGAAAGCATCTTTTTTTTTGTGAGGAAGATCAGCCCTGAGCTAACATCTATTGCCAATCCTCCTCTTTTTCCCTTTTTCTCCCCAAAGCCCCAGTAGATAGGTGTATGTCATAGTTGCACATCCTTCTAGTTGCTGTATGAGGGACGCTGCCTCAGAACGGCAGGACAAGCAGTGTGTTGGTGTGCACCCGGGATCTGAACCTGAGCTGCCAATAGTGTAGCACGTGCACTTAACCGCCAAGCCACGGGGCCAGCCCAGGAAGGCATCTTTGATAGAAAATGTAGGGAGTGGGCAGAGAAAGTGAGGTTACAGCCTGCCTAGAGTGAACTGCTGGGTGATCACAACAAGCTGGGCAGTGATTTTTAGAGTAAGCTGTGTTTAAAAACAAAACAAATGAGTTGGTTGCGTGGAATGCTATTCTGAGCACCCTTGAAATTGTGTTTTTTAGGGCACCAAGTAGAATCAGTCTGTGGTTGGGGTGGGGAGAGTGGGAGCTGGTACTGCTAGTGCTGGACCTAAGTCAAGGACCTCAGGATAGAAGAAAACTTTTATTGCAGGTGTTTACACCATTATTTCCCTTCCCAGATTGTGGACCCTTCCAGGGCCTGGAGAGTATCTGACCTTGTTTCCAATGACGCCTAACAGAGTACTGAGGGAAAATGGAATAAATGACATGACAATGAGCCAACAATGCGCTTTCCTTAGCCTGAAAGCAGGAATGGAGAAAGCAGGACCTCTTCAAAACAATTAAACCTACCCTACATTTAGATAATTTTATTTGAATGGCTATAAGAGTGGTTTTCATTATTCTGACTGTCCATCCATTCACCTGGATAAACTCTGGTTATCTGCATAAGAATAAAAATTCTCAGGGATTATGAGCATCCCTTAATTTCAATATCAATTCATGAATAAACTAGCCATATAAATGCAATCATAGAACTATATCCTGTCAATATGTCAGTTCTCAACTTGATTTATAGATTCAAAGCAATCCCAATCAAAATCCCAGCAAGTTATTTTGTAGATACTGACAAATGAATTCTAAAGTTTATATGGAGAGGCAAAAAAGCCCCAGAATAGCCAACACAATATTGAAGAACAGAGTTGGAGGAGTGATGCTACCCAACTTCGACTTACTATAAAGGTACAATAATCAAGATAGTGTGATATGGGTGAAATAGCATGAAACAGGCCCACATAAATATAGTCAAGTGATCTTTGATAAAGGAGAAAGGGCAATACAATGCAGCAAAGATAGTCTTTTCAACAAATTGCGCTGGAATAATTGGACATCCACATGCAAAAAAATAAATCTAGACACAGACCTTACATGCTTTACAAGAATTAAATCAAAATGGATCACAGACCTAAATGTAAAACACAAAACTATACAACTCCTAGAAGATACCATAGCAAAAAATCTGGGTGATCTTTGGTATGGCAATGCCTATTAAGATCCAACACCAAAGGCCAACCATGAAAGAAATAATTGGTAAGTTGGATTTCATTAAAATTAAAAACTTCGGCTCTGTGAAAGGCAATGTGAAGAGAATGAGAAGACAAGTATAAGCTGAGAGAGAATATTTGCAAAAGACAGATCTGATAAAGGACTATTATCATTTAAAACTATAGTTTTAAGAGAAACTCAACAAGAAAATGAACCACCCAATTAAAAATGGGCAAAACACCTAAACAGACACCTCACCAAAGATATACAGATGGCAAAAGAGCATATGAAAAGATGTTCATCATCATATGTCATTAGGGAACTGCAAATTAAAACAGTGAGATACCACTACACACCTATTAGAATGGTCAAAAGCCAAAACACACCACCAAATGCTGGTGAGGATGTGGAGCAACAGGAGCTCTCGTTCATTGTGGTGGGAATGCAAAATGGTGCAGCCACTTTGGAAGACAGTTTGGCAATTTCTTACAAAACTAGACATATTCTTACCACATGATCCAGCAATTGTGCTCTCGGTATTTACCCAAGTGAGTTGAAACATATGTTCACACAAAGACCTGCACAGACATTTACAGCTTTATTCATAATCGCCAAAACTTGGAAGCAACCAAGACGTCCTTCAGTAGGTGAGTGGATAAAGTGTGGTCCATGCAGATAGGGGATTATTCAGCACTATAAAGAAATGAGCTATCAAGCCTTGAAAAGACATGGAAGAAACTTACATGCATATTTCTAAGTGAAAGAAGCCAATCTGAAAGGGCTACCTACTGTGTGATTCCACTAACAAATGCATTTCTGTGGTGTGGGGTGTCAACAAACACAAGTACAGGAGCCTATGCATATATTGGGGCAAGAGGTATATGGGAACTCCGTATTTTCCACTCAATTGTGCTGTGAACTTAAAACTGCTCTAAAAAATAATGTCTACTTAAGAAATATCCTGAAGATGAAATAAAGAGTAATAGGATGGTCCTCTGGGTTCAGGATTGCCATTGTGCATGATGAGACTAGACGGACCTCGCTGCAGCAACATCTGAGACATCAGGATTTCTCTACACAATCCACAAAAACCAACCTGTGAGAGAGTGGTTGGGTTTTCTTCCTGCCTGGTTAGTTTAGTGCACACAGGACTTAGACCAGAGGGATCTGGGTAACCCCAGCTCTGCCACTTCCTGTGATTTAGGATATGTCACTTCAGCAAGCTGAGCTGTTTTCCTTATTTGTGAAGATTGAATGAGACCACATATGTCAAAGAGCTCTGTAAACTATCAAACACACACAAACATAAATTGCTACTGCTAAATTATTTATAAATGTAACTTAAGAATGTCTCAGATGTGTGAGAGTTGTTTATAATGCATAACCATACCATGCCTCTCACTGCTCAGCTCCTGGCTTTGAGAAAACACTGACGTGTAGGCTCATATCCCATGCATCTAGACAACCAGCTCAAAGCAGGGAAAGGCAAGCAGAGGGTGCAAGAGTCCTAATCACACAGCTGTCTGCTCTGGGTGCAACTTGCAATGGGAAGGAAGGAAGGAAAGCTACACACACACCTCAGGACATAATCCAGCCATCCAGCCAACAGGACAAGGGGTCACGATTCCCAAGCAACGTTTAGGTTAAACACGTGACAAAAAGCAGAAGAGTGGCTCCCACACCATGTCTGTGAAGGCCGAGGAGCAGCATCCACAGAGCAGGAGCCCCTTCTGCTGAGCTTCCAAGTCCCATATGCCTGGCCATAGCACCTCGTCTCCTTCCAAGGCCAACATATGAAATAATTTGGGACAGCAAACACCTTGAAAGTTCATCACACACAACAATCTACAGTAAGACCAAGTGTTAAAGCAGAAATTTATTAAAATCCATTTATATAGTGTTTTACAGACAAAAAAATGTACAGAGTCCTCAATATTCAGGCAATCAATTCTATTCTCAGAAGTGCTTTGCGAGAAGACAGATTTTTTTTGCCCTCCCTCCGAAAAGAAACTTCTGTTGATACTCCTAAAAATGATGCATTTATTACACCACCTCTCAAGAACAATCCTGTCGAGATCCCAAAACCTCTGCAGAGAGTGAAGAGATACTAGCAGAGAAACTTCTCCAGAATGCAATGCCTCATTCAGAAGTGTAGTGCAAGAGATACATAAATGGCGGCTGCTTCAGAGGAGTGTGTGCACACCCAGCGGGTGGGCCATGAGAAGAGCCTGAGGGCCCAGCTGGGCAGCCCCTAGCTGCGGAGTGTGGCCAGCCGGGACTGCATGGCCTCTAGGGCCTCTTCCTCCTCCTCGTCTTCAGAGGCAGCCATCGCTCCTGGAGGTTCAGGCTCTGGAAGGGCGTCGGTCACTTTACTAGGTGCTTTGCCCAAGGCCCCTGAAAAGAAATAGAGACAAGAGATTAACAAAACATCGGCTTAAAGAAGTGGTTCTTATCTTCCCTGCCTTTCATGCCTGGATCAGTCCAACAAGAAACAGAAAAGGGGCAATAAAACAAGCTGTTGTGGTGGGGTTTTGCTCCCTATGACAAATGTGCCAACAAAACTTAAATCTCACCAATTATATTTTTCATTAAACATAAAACTCAGAAAATCTAGAAGTAAAAATAAAGTTTAAAAACTCATTAACCGTCACTCAGAGATAATTACTATTTTTATTTATCCCCCCTTCCAGACTTTTTCTATAGACGTGTTTTTTACACAAAAGTATGTATTTAAGTAACAAGGCTTTTTCCACATAATACATTGTGAACATCTTGCTATGTCAATGAATATGTTTCTACATTACCTATCAAAACAAAGTATTCCATTAAAACAGATATAACAATTGATTCAATCAGTACTCTATTATTAGGTATTTGGCTTGTTTCAAACTTTTCAATATTATAAATAATGCTACTATAGACATCCTTGAGTTAAATCTTTCAGCACATCCTTAATTACTAGAGTAACTCCCAGAAGTCATTCTGTTAGGTCAAGGACTTTTGATAGCTACTGCCAAATTGCTTTCAAGAAAGTCGATACCAATTTAGGCTCCCAACAGCAGTATGTGAACGCAAGATTTCCCCTTAACATTTTGAGAACTCTAGGAATTTAAAAAATGCTTTGTGTTTTTTAAAAGATGCTTCTAGATATTGTGCTTATTTTTCAAGAAATAACTTGCATAATCTAAAATAAAACATGTAGAAGTAAGGGAGTTATAACCTAAAGAAAAAGCTACTAGATAATTTAGTGACTCCAAGAAGAATAACCATAAAATGAAGGGAGAAAGAGGAAGAATCTCAGGGTCATACCTGCTGTAATTTCAAACAGAATCTTGTCAATTTCCATTTCTGCCGCTTCCTCCATTTCGTCCTGATCCTCCATGCTTTCAAAAGTGTCCTCTAACATCTCTTCTATGATCCCAGCCTAAACAAAGAAAAAACCATGTCACTTCCCTCAACTGTTAAATCTGTTCCCAACAGACACCTCTATGAGTCGAGCAGCAACCGAGCTCCTGTGTCTCCAATCTGGTCCACTCTTTCGAGGGCTAACACACAAGACAGTTGGCCACAGGCACTGTCCTCTCTGCAAAAGGCCAAAGGGAAATTGTTCTCCAAATTTATCACCAGGGTTGGAGGGGGCCTCTATCAGCAGAGTTTCACAAAGTAACCCAGACTCTAATGGCAGCACTTGGGGAAGAACTTGCTGACGGATGAGAGGATGTCCTGAGCTGTCTTGCGAAGCATCTCTCCTGACGTTGCAAATATAATCTGTGAGTGCAGAAGTTGAAACAGTGTGAAAACTGACTGGAGGCATAGTAGACACTACAGTAACAAATACCAAGAGCAGGTGGGGCTCCTTGGAATCCCAGAAAGTCCTGACGAGTACTTCAGCACGTCCAGGTACAGCTGCTGGCACCGGGTCAGTCCGGTGGGTCTAGCAAGGACCAATCAATTCACCAAAGCCTGATCATCCACTCCCGAGAGAACCGATAAGACAGTGTTTCTGGACCCATCAAGGTAACGCCCAGACTCTCTACTGGATGCCCTGTGCCTGGCAACCTGAAGCCAGCCAGTCACCCTCCTTTTGTTCTCCAGGAAGCATGGCACCACCATGGGGCACGAGAAAACCGCTCCAACACTGGCCAACGCAGGCAGGCCCTGCAGTCTGCCCTGCTGGACAGTGTTCTCTGCTCCCAGATAAGGCGCTATTTTCTGTTTGGTTTTGAAGCAAAAGATCAGAACAGCACCCTCCAGTGTCAAAAAGAGGGCCGCTGGCACCCCTGGGCAGAAGAGGTTGGAAGCGGCTGGGTGGCTGGGGCGGTGGGGAGGTGGCAGAGGGAAAGCATGGGTTCAGGCTTCTGAGAAGCTGCCAGAGAAAAATCCTGACTGCTCTGCAACCTGCAGTAACCGAGCCCGTTGCTTTGTACCTTGACATTCCAGTGATCCAACGAGCAGAAGGTCACGTGTGGAGCTCCAGCCCTGGCTCCCCTGCACTCAGCCAGGGCACGACCTCACTGACCATGCTGATGGGATCAGATTCAAAGCACGCCCTCTCTCCTGCCTCCCCTTCTGCTGCCAGACCACACAAGTGACTCTTAATGACATGAATCCAGCTAGTACCATATTCTGCCCATTCTCAGACCTTTTCCTCGCAACTAAACTGAACAAATAAACAAATGTGCATTCAAGGTCATACAGGTGGAGCCCTCTGGCCTGGGTGGACCTCATCTTAGTGCTGGAGGCTATTGTAGAAGAGGTTCAATACATACTCCCTAACTGGTTAAAAGAGCCTACCAGAATCCTGACTGTTAACAGCCTCTACATCCTGGAGCTAGAAGTTGTCATTCATTCATTCATTCGTTCATTCAATCAATCAGCAACCATTCATCAAATGCCTGCTCTGTGCCACTCAACAGGCCAGGGTCTGGGGACAATTAGAATGACTAAGATCATGTCCCTGACCTCAAGGAGCTGGGCGCCCATCAGAGGCTTCAGTTTGTACCTGGGGATGCATCCTTGGCTGAATTCAGTAAATGTTTATTTATCTACTACATGCAAGCCTTCCTCCAAATCTGTATTACTTTCAGGGTTCAGAAACCATTGTGGAAAAGATCCCCCCTTAGATCCTGGTGGTTCCATGAGTTAGAATGAGCAGGCCTGAAGTCATGTGAAGAATTACCTGTTATCCAGTTCTAGATGGACAGTCACCACAACCTGGGGGATGAGACATCCACACACTACTTTTAAAGGACACACCCTCCTGACCTGGTTTCCTCACTACTACTGCCCAGGGTTTCTCACTCCAAAGACCTGGGTTCTGGGCTTCTTACATTGCCTTTCTTTTCCATCAATTTTCTTCTCCCGTTCCTCTCTCCCATGCCCTAGAACCCTGTATATAATTCAAGTTCATAAATGAAATTCCTTAGGAGGAAGGGAAGTAATTTCCATGCACGAGCTATATACAAGAATTTCAGGAGTATAATCTTGGCTCTCAGGCCACAAGTTCGAAGCATGAACCAGCATCTGTTCCATCTGTATCACTGTTTCCTCTGAGGCAGCTCAGGCAATGAAGTCAGACACTTGTGCCCCAACTCCAGATCTGTCACTGACTATCACGGTCACTTAGGTAAGTTACCTGGTAACTTGAAGACTCAGTTTCCTCTTGTGTAAAATGGGAGAAAAAAATACCTACCTCACAGGGTCACTGGGAGGACTCTATAGGACAGTATGTGTGATGCACCCCTGCCTGGCAGGGGGCTCAGTAACAACACCCTCCTGAGCCCTGTCCCTGTCTGAAGGCCAGTTTATAGGTCCTTGCCAGGCCCTGATCCTGGGAGTGGATCAGGGAGGGGCAGGTAATTATTACTTTTTATTTGGTTCTCAGTCTCTCCTTTTTAGTCTAAAACAGGGGTCAGCAAACTACAGCCCGCAGGCCAAGTCTGGTCCACTGCCCGTTTTTGTAAGTAGTTTTATTGGAACACACACAGTCATGCTCATTTGTTTAAATATCTGTGGCTGCTTTTACACTGAAGAGCAGAGTTGAGTAGTTACAACAGAGATGTACGGCCCACAAAGTGTGAAATACATTTACTATCTGGCCCTTAACGGGAAAAGTTTGCCAATCCCTAGTCTACAACGACCTCCCTCGCCAGCTTCACTAACACTCCCCTTGAGCAGACGGAGGAACTTGGGTTTTCTGTTTCCTTGCTCATGTCAGAGCCTGTAAGCCCTAGCTCCCTGAATCCGAAACAGTTGCTCCCTGGATCCCCCACCTTTCCTAGGCCTCTGGGTATACTTTCGCTTCTTCTAAGGAACACTCTGGCAATCTGACCCAGTCTCTGCCAAGCTCAGCTCAGATGATTTCAACCAGTGTTAACAGCTGCTCCTGTGTCCTCAAAATCACTTCTGTCTAGCAACAGTGGTCTATCCATTCCCCTCCAGCCCTAGCCCTAGCCCCCTGCCACTTGCTGAGAGTGACTCAGTGGTCTGGAAGGGGATGCAGGGTAGCCCCAGGTCACCTTCATCATCTCTTTGGATAGCTCCCGCATGGTGGCCTGGATTTCTGGGATCTTCACAAGACTCTGCATGGCCCTCATCACTTCTGTGCTCTTCTGCAGGGAACCAGCCACTCGCAAAACCGCTGAAAGGGAAGGTATCAGTTAGGATTGTTCAACAGAATAAGACGCAGGATGGAATAGAGAGAGACAGTCAAATTACAAGCCATTCTAATAAGAGGCAGCGGTAGTAGGTAGGCTCTCACAGCTATTTATGTACCTACGGAATACATTACTGTGCTAGTTGACCAAGAGACTGACTTTTCTAAATTGTGTGTTACTTTGCCTACAATAGGTACAAATGGAGCACTCACACCAACTGGCCAACCTGGAGAGTGGCCTGAAGGCCTGCATCTGACCCTTAGGGAAGGAAGCTAGCTAGGAATGACTGTGACGCCCTGGACAAATCACACATGGGAAGAACAGCTCTAGACCTTGCCAGGGCCACAGTGGAAAACAGAAGGCTTTAGGCTACCCAAGTAGTGCTCCCCATACACCAGCCTATGGGTGGCAGCTGCTCTGGAGAAACCTGCCACTGTTTCTCAGGAAAATGAGAGAAATCAGGGTAAGCACGTAGTGAGTGTATGTATGTGTCAGTGTAAGGTGGTTACGGTTCCTTGCTTCAGAAAACTTTTCTGTAGTCTGAGATCATATACATACTATATATTCTTTATAAGAAATCACTGTAGAAGTAAATGATCATTTTCCCCCTTAAAGTCATTAACATGTCAAAATAGAGTTGGCAACCCTCCAAATCTGTTTTGGAACTTCATGAGACAAAGTTCTGAGAAATGCTATACATCAAGCTGTTCACCAAGATCGGCACACAGACCTCCACTAGCACTGCGATGCTGGCTATGCCACGGGTCACTACAACTGGACCTCCGTCTGAATCAAGACTCTAGGAAGCTTTCCCATCTAAGGGAAAACAAGAATGACCAGAGAAATGCCTAGGTGACATACACGGCATTTTGCGATTTTTCTAAAGGAGTAAGGAAGTTTGCTAGTTGCAGAGAACACTTCATTCCCCTTAACATTGGAATGGGAAAGTAAAATATTTATCTATTTGTTAAGATTAGTATAATTACAGAAGTGTCAAGAATCTCTATGACTGCAATAAGCAATAAATTATATGTGCCATTATCATGATATAAAAAGACAAATTCTAAAATGTTAAAGTTACTACTGACTATTGTAAAAAGGTAAGTGATGGGAATAAGACAAGAAGAGTAAAAATAAAATAAATTCCACATAATTCTGTTTGAATTATAAAAGTTTGATGTCTACACAGGCCAGTGTTTTATCCTAATTTGCATCCTGAGTCTGTATCCCAGAGAGAGTGCCTGAACATGACATGTGTTCAATAAACTTTTTTGAGCTGAATTTGTAAAAATGAGAAAAAAGATGGGAGACATAGAAAAAAACATGGTGTGACAAGTGTTAAGTTAAATACTGAAAAATTTGTATTTTGAAAATGGTATAGATTTCTGATAGTTAAACATGAAAAGGAAGAATCAATATAGTGGGAAAAAGAGGAAGCAAAAATGAACTTAGAGATAAAATTAATCCAAAAAGATTTAATTTGATAACCAATTAACAGGATTGGGGAAGTGGATTTTTAAAAGGCGAAAATAAACGTATGTTGTACACTTGAAACTCAAAACAAAGAAGGTACATACATAGAGGAAAGTAAAAGACTAGACTAAAATGTATTTTCTATGTTCCACGAGGAAAGCAGATGTGGCAGATAAAAATTATTTTATAATAAAAATAGTCTACCCCTACAAGAGAACGAGAAGACAGCCATAAGCTGGAAGAAAATATTTGCAAAAGACATATCTGATAAGGAATTATTATCCAAAGTATACAAAGAACTCTTAAAACTCAACGATAAGAAAATGCACAACCCAATTAGAAATGGGCAAAAGACCTAAACACAAACCTCACCAAAGAAGATATACAGATGGCAATAAAGCTCTTGAAAAGATGCTGAACATCATATGTCATTAGGGAATTGCAAATTAGAACCACAACGAGATACCACTCCACACCCATTAGAACAGTCAAAATCTAAAACACTGACAACAATAAATGCAGGCGAGGATGTGGAGCAGCAGGAGCTCTCGTTCATTGTGGTGGGAATGCAAAATGGTGCAGCACTTTGGAAGACAGTTTGGCCGTTTCTTACGAAACTAGACATATTCTTACCATGTGACCCAGCAACTGTGCTCCTTGGTATTTACCCAAAAGAGTTGGAACATATGTACATACAAAAAGCTGCACACGGATGTTTCTAGAAGCTTTATTCATAATTGCCAAAACTTGGAAGCAACCAAGATGTTGCTTGCAAGTGAACAACAATAATGGATAAATAAATTGTGGTACATCCAGTTAATGGAATATTATTCAGCACTAAAAAGAAATGAGCTATCAGGCCATGAAAAGACATAGAGGAAACGCATATGCATATTACTAAGTGAAAGAAGCCAATCTGAAAGGCTTACATACTATATGATTCCATCTATAGGACATTCTGGAAAAGGCAAAACTATGGAGACAGTAAAAAGATCAGTGGTGGCCAGGGGTTAGGGGAGGGAGGGATGAATAAGCAGAGCACAGAAGATTCTTAGCTATGTATATATTTCATAATAAAAAAGAATCTCCAAAATAAAAAGGTTAAAATTCTACAGAAAATGTTAATGTTAGCATTATAAAAACTAGCTGACATTTAAAATTAGAAAAAACAAAGTCACACAGAAGATCATGAAATAAAATGAGCAGTGTTTCATGGTTCCAGCTCTTTCTGCTAAGCCCGTCCCCAGCCCACCCCAAGGCCTTTCTGGGTTCCAGGCTCCATCCAGCTTCAGGGCCCACGCACACGTTCCCCCCTCAGGGTGCAGTGCAGGGCCCCACTGACAGCTCTACACAGTGGGCACCTGATGGGCAGATTTCTTTTTTTTTTTTTAATATGGTACCCTTCATGAATTTGCATGTCATCCTTGTGCAGAGACCATGCTAATCTTCTTGGTAAGGTTCCCATTTTGGTATGTGTGCTGCCCAAGAGAGCACTAGATTTCTTTCTTATTTGGAGATGAACTCATGATTTTATGCCCAGTGCCTAGCATTGTGCCTGACACAGGTGACACTCAAATAATGGTTGAATAAACCAGTGAAGGAATTTAGAAGACAACAGGGAAAACTATCATGTTCAAATTGCATTAAAACAATGTTAAACATATTAGCGTCTTAATAGCAAACAGCACTGAGGTGGTTTTACAAAGCCTCAGGTGCTCCTACATATAATGACATTATTTAGTATTAGGTCAGAAATACATATTTCCTCTTCTGTACTGACCATAAAAATTCCAGAACATTTCTTTATAGAAATAAATAAAACAGTAACCAATTTCATATGGCAAAAGGAGAGGGAGGGATTTCAACAAACAGAAACTAGTTCCCCCCAAATTTTCAATTACAGACACAGAATGACTGCATACTAGTGACAAAACCAGACCAACTGATCTAGGAAAAGAAACTAAAATCCAGAAATAAACACAAAAGTATTAATCTTACAGCACTCTTTGTGGAGAATTTTGAACATACACAAAAGCAGAGAAGCGTCATTTCACCAAAGAGGAGATACGGATGGCAAATAAGCACATGAAAAAATGTCCCTAATTGTTAGCCATTAGGGAAATGCAAATTAAAACCAAAATCAGATAGCTCTACACACCCACCAGAATGGCTAAAATAAAAAACAGTGATACCACCAAATGTTGCAAATGATGCGGAAAAACTGGATCACATACACTGGCAGGTGGGAATTTAAAATGGTATTGCCACTCTGGACAACAGTCTGACAATTTCTTATATGCAACCATAAATTGTTCTACTAGGCATTTATTCCAGAGAAATGAATACTTATGTTCACACAAAACCTGTACACTTTTATAGTAGCTTCATTTATAATAGTTGATAACTGGAAACAACCCAGAAGTTCTTCAACAGGTGAATGGTTAACACAGGTATATCCATACCATGGACTATGACTCAGCGATAAAAAAAAAAGGAATGAACTATTGATACATGCAAAAACCTGGGTTAATTTCCAGAGAATTATACTGAGTGAAAAAGGCCAATCCCAAGAGGTTACACACTGTCTGATTCCATTTATATAACATTCTTAAAATAACAAAATTATAAAATGGATTATATTAGCAGTTGCCAGAGATTAAGAAGGGAGTGGGGATGGGAGGGAAGTGGGTATAGTTATAAAAGGGCAACATGAGAGATCCTTGTAGAGATGGAAACTGGAAACGTTCTATAGCTTGACTGTATCAGTGCCAATAGCCTGGTTGTGACATTGTACTATAATTCTGCAAGATGTTACCATTGGGGGAAAATGGGTAATGGGTACACAAAACCTACCGTATTATTTCTTACAACCACACGTATGTGAATCTACAATTATCTCAAAACAAAAACCTTAATTTTTAAAAAGCCCTCAGAAAAGAGTGTAAAGAGCCAGCCCTGATTGCCTAGTAGTTCAAGTTTGGCACGCTCCACTTTGGTGGCCCGGTTCAGTTCCGGGGCATGGAACCACACCACTTGTCTGTCGGTAGCCGTGCAGCAGCTCACAGAGAAGAACTTTCAGAAGGACTTACAACTAGAATATACAACTATGTACTGGGGCTTTGAGGAGGGGAAAGACAGGGGGACGAAGATTGGCAACAGCTATCAGCTCAGGGCGAATCTTTCCCAGCAAAAAAAAAAAAAAAAAAGAATATAAAAAGCCTCAGAAAACACTATATTCCCATGCCTGCTAGAGATACAAATGAAAATAAAAGATATTATACAATAAAAATACAAGTTCTGCTATGAATATTATTATAACAATAACCAAAGATAGAAACAAAGTAGCTAAATACAGACTTAGCTTCATAATCAGTAGCCGCAAAAACCAATTGAAATATTCTGAAAAGAAGCTGACACCAATAATGAAAGCAGCAAAACCACAAAGCTCTCTCTACCTATCACAGGTTCCTGTGGCAATTACAGTTAAATTAAAAAATCAGAAAAGGAAATG